TTCAGGGACTAACGGGGACGGGGACGGGCTGGTTATGGGGCTGGGACACTTATCTCCATCCCTGGCCCGAAACTGATCTAGGATTGATTTTTAAATACCATCCCCGTCCCGTTAGGGATATTTTTCGAAAAAAACCACTCAATTTAGGGTCAGGGGGTCGGGTCCCCGTCGGGCCGGGTTCAAATTGCCATTCCTAGAGGGAACCGGATTTTGTACGGTCGCTATGGAGGTGATTGGCTACAGTACCGTTGGGGATGTATTTATAAACGAGGAGGAGCTCATGGCAGTGTCGGGAGGTGCATCCGTAGAGGGAGACGAGGTTTAGGTGGCGAAGGCGGGTGAGGATCTCTATTTCATTCATGAATTGTTCCACTGTTTTGAAATTGTGATCGTATAATCGTTTCATTGCAACTACACTCCCATCTCGAAGTTTTCCTGGTTAAGATTATATGAAAAAAGTGGTCGATCTCAATCAAATGGTGCATGTAAGTATGCCTTTCATTACAATAAACCATTGGAAGGAAGGGGAATTTCTATAATATACAACTCAAGAAACAAAATGTGTCATATGCTCCCAGTTATGAGTTTTTGTAATTTTTTATTATGATTCATTAAAATATTGGTTAACAACACAGCTTGTTTGAAATTAAACCAAATTGACTCAATTTAGAACTTTGAGCAAAATTGAAACTTAGGCAACCCAAGTGACATAATGCATAATTTAGGGATTATAAAAATATTTTATCCTACAAAATATTTCAAAAAAAAGGTTGCTTGTGAGGACTGGACGGTCCAATGTAGGCTCGTGAGCTCTCTAAGGGCCTCAGTTCGATGATTTATTGATTGTCTGTGTAGATTATCCACACAAGTACTCACGCGCATGCACATTCACCCAAAAAAAAGAAGAAAAAAGAAGAAGAAGAAGATTGATCTAATAATTTTAACCATCAGATTTCATCACATTAGTTTTAAAAAATGTGGATGATAAATGTGATTTTGAAAATTGTTTATCTATTTTTTAAAAATAAATGTGATAAAATTGTGTAGAAAAAAAAAAAAAACTAAAAATTTTCTTTTTTTTCTTTTTATGAATGATTACATTTAAAGGCCTAAAAAAATCTACGGATTATCAAAGCGAGACTTGTGATAAGTCCATGGGCCTAATTGGACAGTCCAACTCTTTTGAGGACTAAAAATAAGTATTATTCTTTAAATATATATGTATAGAAAATATAATCCTGCCAACACTATATTCATTAAAAAAAGTTGAGTTTGTAAGATAGTTTTGAGTTGATAAACACCTAGGTATACAGTGCCAAATCCTCCATCTCCAATTTCTTTCTTGGAATCAAAATTGTTGGTGGCTTTTTGGAGTTCGTTATAGCAGAAAGTTTGGACTCCATAGCAGCTTGCTTCCTTTTCAATATCATTCATTGAAGATGTATGAGAAGTGTATCGAGATATCCAAGACCACGTCGCATTGTATTTTTTGTTCCTGCGACAATAGATGATGAGAACAATAGCCACCATCAGGAGGGTACCTACTCTGCCCCAAGCCCTGCATTGGAAAAAAAAGCCGAGTAAGAATATGTTCTATAACGAGAAGTTTGGACCATTGTTCTCTTATAAGCCAATCATAGAACCAAACACAAAATTTATATCAACAGTGCTAAGAATACAAAATAATTCATAGTAAGTGTAATGAAAGATTGTGATAAACCCAATTATAGAAGGATCCACATTCATATTAAATCTCAGCCTACCATTACACTTTATATGATCCATTCTATATTTTAATTATGTGTTTTCAGCATTAGTGAATCTATATTAATTTATCTTTTATGTCAATATGGTCATTGGTTTTCTAATTATATTAATTTTACTCTTGAATTTTTTTACGTTGTATCAGTTTAGTCCAATCGATAATATCTCTTTAGAAATTAGATTAACCAATGGGTAAAATAGTTCATTCATTCTCTTCAAAGTAATTGAAGAGTTATTGTTAAATTTAAATTTATCCATTTCCTGTTGAAAAGATCATTTTACCCTTGCTTGTTGTCTAATTCTCAATGGATGTTATCAATTTGTCCAAATTCACAAAATTTCAAAAATTAAAGACAAAATTGATATGATTGAAACTATATATCTAAATTGGCATAAGACATGAATTATAAGAATCACACGTATAATTTTCCGTATAATTTTTTTACATGTAAATCCCACTATTCATTTTTTTAAAAAAATATTGTTCATTTATATATATTTTATGTTTAATTTTTTATGATCCATTTCTTACCAGAATGGAAAACAATAGAAGATGGAAAACAATAGAAAACGGAACTGTACCTATACAATAAAGCGCTGCCGGCAACTTACTTTTCCCTGTAGAAAATCATGAAACATGATAAACCATTAGCCCAAATATTATCACAATGCAAATTCTAATAGTGGAATATATGAGAATTCTAGATCTACCCTACTTTCCATTTTAATGGTCTACTTGTAAAAATTTACTTACATATTTAAAAGAAAGAAAGAGCGAATGGACACAACACAAGTTCTTGTCTATAGGACTAAAATTTGCACCAAGAAAGATAGAAATAATTGAAAAATGTTGGATACACATGACTCTACAACTACTCTAAAAATAGGCACGCGGACCTTGGATGGATCTAGGCGAATGTCATAAAAAACTTAAGTGAATTATTTTTTAAACACCAATTGATATTAGAACAGATAATGAAACACGGTCCGACAAGAAAGAATGATAAAAAGGACTAAGGTTTACTACGCTTACCATCGTCACAGGTTTTGGAATGTTGTTTATTGGAGCAAAAACAGGTAAATTTGTTATTAATAGAACCACAGTTCCCTCCACTTCTCTTGCAATCACTGCAATAATCTTCACTCCATTGCAAAACAAACCCTCTTCTCAAAGCATCAGTGAAATTCATTTCCAACAATTTCTTGATAACTCCAGTCTCCACAGGTGCATTCACCCAAGAATTGCACGAGTCGATCGAATAATTCTCATGCTTCAAAACCTCCTTGTGAAAAACAGCAAATGATAAATTGGTAGCATTGCTTGCATAATCAAGTCGATAAGTCGGATCTTTGATAGGATACGTTGAACAATTGCAGAAGAAGAAGAGATCGACATAGCTAGGACTATAGTTGTATGGAGTTCCCTCAATGCTAAAATTATGCAGAGGAATTGGACATGTATTTTCAAAATCATAGACCATGGAATTAGCCAAGAGAAATGAATTATTGGCGTAGAATATTTCTTCGATGACATAATCATCATCGAATATCGCGACAACCGGGTTTCCGCCATTGCAAGTGACCTCAAAGTTTGGTTGGCCACAATAAGACTCATGCAAATTAGTAATCCAAAAAGGGTAACTTATATTTGGACCATTCCCGCAATTTCGAGGCATACAGGCCTCGAAATTCGGGTCTATGGATAGAGTTTCATTTGCCAAGATGGAAAATATGATGAAAATGAAAATAATTTGGAAAGATTTGTTGAATTCGAGATGCATTTGGAGAAGAAAGAATGGAGAAAAAACAGAAAAACAGGGGAGGCGAGAAAACAGAGGAAAACAGGGGAGGAGAGGAGAGAGGTGCGAAAGTGGAGGAGAGAAGCATTTGTAGAAGAATTACCTTTGTGTTGTTTTGTTGTTTTGGGTTTAATGATTGGGAGGTTTGAAAATGTTAGCTTAGAGCATCTCCAACGGTGTACCAAATGTTTCACCAAATCTGAGTCAAAAATGGGTCATTTCTTTAATTTGATATTTCGCGCTCCAACGGTTCAACATCAAATCCGTTTCATCAAATTTGCGCTGGGCAACCGGTTGGTTGACCGGCCGGTCAACCGGTAATGGCAAAAAAAATTTTTTTTTTTTTTTTTTACCCGTTTGAACCTTTGTTTTTGGAACTTTTTTCACTTTTGATGGTCGACCGGGTGGTCAACCGGCCGGTCGACCGGGTGGTCGACCACCTAGGCAAAATTTTTTTTTTTTTTTTTTTTTACCCGTTTGAACCTTTTTTTTTGGAACTTTTTGAACTTTTGGTGGTCGACCGGGTGGTCAACCGGCCGGTCGACCGGGTGGTCGACCACCTAGGCAAAATTTTTTTTTTTTTTTTTGACTGGTTTGAACCTTTTTGTGAACGGTCTGAACTTTCTCCGGGGCGACCGGTTGGTCAACCGGATAGTCGACCCGTTCGTCTCATCCCAACGGTTAGGAACAGTGATTTGCTGAAATGTTTCGCCTGCACTCAGTTTGGTATCATTTTTGCTGAATTCTGGATTTGATATCGATTTGGTGAAACCATTGGAGCTTAAAAAAGTGGTTTTTTCACCAAATTTTAAATTTGATGCCAAGTTTGGTTCACCGTTGGAGATGGTCTTAGATGCACAAGAAAGACAAACTTTAGTTCAAGCAAAAGCAAGTGTCCTGCTTTTTCTTCAACTACCTCTGAAAGTCAGGGATAGAACAGAGTACAATCAATGGGCTTTAATTTCAACCATATGTAAAAGTTATGTATTTTGAAAAAATAAATATTATGAAAATTATTTAAAAAAGAAAATGTATGGTGAAATTCAATAATTGGGTAGTCACATCAAAAATAAATACGATCCACTTATTTAATTTTGAGTAATTTTTGTGTGATGTTATCAATGTTGCTGTTAACTTGATTTTTGTTAAATGAAGACATAATTTTTAAAATTGGCAAGTAATCGGCTTTTGACCTCTAGTATGGTTTAATCTAGATTCTAACAAAATGAATGGTGATTGTATACAAGTCTTTTAAATATTTAACATTAGTCAAAATTTGTTTTATTGTGTATGTAACAAATGAATGTTAGCATTCTCGAGTTGCTTGAAGATTTAATAATTTGTCAATATTCAAATTTCAGGTCATTGGAAAATTACTGTAAAATGTAGTCTATCAAATAGATAATTTGTTATTTGGTAAGAGTAGAATTAATTAAAAGAAAAAAATTTAGAATACTTAAAATATGTAAAATAAATTTAATTAATATTATTATGTAAACTACACCAGAATGAATCTGAGCTGCACAAATTTTTTTGACAGCTTTTGATGCAACTCTTTTAATTCCTAGCCAGACCCGGCCCTGAGATTTTTGAGATGTAAAATCGATAATCAACTAATAAATTTTTGGGACCTTTCACATTTTTTTTTCATTAATGAAAAAAAATGAAGGTAAAAGACAAAAGATTGTGTCAAAATCACAAAAAATACTTAGTATTACAGTACAACAACTAATAAGTATCGCTTGATCCTCGCTCTTCTTGCCATTTTAGAAGCAAATAAATAAATTATACTTGCATAATCTAGTTTTTTTGCAAAATCATTTTCAATGGATAACAATGCTAATTATTTTAAATGGGCCTTTAAATTTTTCAATTTATTTTAAGTTAGTTTGGGCCTTCCTTAATTTTTTTTTGGATTTAAAACATACATAATATATTACAATAAACTATAATAGGAGAGGATCCTTTTTTTGAGTCTATTTTCAATGGACAACAATCTTAATTTTTTTGAATGAACCTTTCAATTTTTTGATGAGTCAATTTATTTTAAGTTAATTTGAGTAAAAAAGTCACTAAAAAAATCAAAAAGTCAATAACCCATACCAAAAAATCAAAGATTCTGTTTTCTCTCTACTTTTTGCACATCTTTTCGTAAAAAGTCAAAAAGTCATCTCAAACATACTAGTTTTTTTTAGCATCCATTTGGGAAGTGGGTTGGCTATTTGATTTTTTGACTTTTTTGGTTATTTTTGCCTGGGTTAAAAAGCTTGGTTTGGAAAGGACTTTTTGATTTTTTAACTTTTTAAACTTTTTTTATGAGAGAATAGTGTAATGATCATGGATTGGATGTGATGTTTTGTTTATTATGACTAAAATAATCTATTTTATTTTTTATGACTATTTTAACTCTAAAACCACTTATCAAACACCTTCTAAGAGGGGCCCTAGGCCATGACCTGGTTCGCCCATGCCTAGTGCCGGCGCTGTCCGTAGCATTGTTCTCATTGAAAAGACCAAAATATCCGAATAATGGGAAAATTCAAATAGAATATTTGAAAGCTCTGGTAACTTTAACTGGTTGCTAGTAAGTTTGAAGAAGATTCGAACATTTGAATGATCCATTGTGGTTCATGGAAGTCATAAAAAAATAAACCAAATATTTTGAGAAGAAAACAAAAACAAAAATCAAGTCATTTTTTTTTAAGTCTTCTTATTTATGGATTAAGTTTTTCTTAAATTTAAATTTGAACCCTTTTTTTAATTTTTTTTTATTTGAATGGGTAATTTGAACTTGTCCATCGGGTTCATGCTCTTCGCGCTTATCGCGAGTTTCGTTTTAATAATTTAAACCATTTATTTTGTAGATTTTCTGTATATATTATTCATAAAAACAATTTGATAATTGTAAATTTTTCATTTTATCGCGTTTATCATAAAAAAAATTGGATGTTCTATTTTTAAAAATATACATGTCAATTATTTTTTTTAAACAAACGTGATAAAATAAAAACGTTATAATTATTAAATTAATATAATTTTTTTTATGAATAATATACATGTAGAATTTTATAAAATGAATTATTCATATTATTAAAATGGAATCCGTAGTAAACCTAACAAACCCAAATATGAATTTAAGCCAATTCTTTTATTTATTTATTTTTTGGTTTGTTAATAGAAACATAACGAAGTCCACAAATTAAATAAAACAGTAATATACTTTTTCCTATAACTTCTTGTACTAGACCAACTCATAAAATGCAAATTGGGATTAAAAAAAAATGTGGTCAATATTCCAAAAATGATATATATATATATTATATATATATTAAAGTCCTAATATTAAACCTATACATCATTAGTATTTTAACTTATGATATTGTCATACCACTATAAGTCCTATATATACTAATATTAATTATATCACTAAGTATCGATACGTATTTTAAAATTATTATATATATATATATGAGATAAATCTTAAGGTTTGTCTAATGGGTACAACTTAAGATTTAAGAGTAATTACTGCTCAGTCTAGATTTCAGATTTAACTCTTCATTAAAAATAATCAGTTATTTGATTATTACGCCCACTTCAATCACATAGAGGACACTTTGTATAAATTTTAAAATTAATCAAATACGCCTAAATTAATTCGAAATATTCCATTAGCAAAACATATATATGAGACAACAATAGAATTTTTATGTAAATGTGAACAACAGAACGTTGGAGACGAAAAGTGGGGACGTGTGAAAAAAAAGAATGAGATGAAAGTGTGATGATTGGTAAGTGAAAGGATGGTGGGTGACCGAAAGCGTGTGGAAAAAGAGGAGAACTTTCTAAATCATTTTCACAAAAAAAATGGATATTTTATTGATAAAGTTTAATTTAGAAGTGTTTAATATCCAAAAAAATTCATAAGAAATTTTTAACTCTATTTAGTCCATGTATGTATATGTTTTATTCCATAAAATTCATTTTCTTGATTACACTATTTTCTTGGACACTAATTGCCCTTATAATTTAATTTGATACCCTTATAAAATTTTTTCAAACGATTAGCAATTTAATGATG